CACGGTACCGCTCGTCCCTGGGGAGCAGGGACAGGAGCCAGCCTGTTACTGAGTCACTCCAGTGCCTTATTCTGGTATTGCTTGAACTGTTGTCTGTGTTGTCACGTGGGATGTGTTTTCTAGAGCAGCTGTGTGGTGATGCTCGTGCTGCCTCAGCCAGAGCCATTCCCGGAGCGGGACGGGCTCCTGATCTGCTCTGAAAGTCTTCCCCACTCACAATTCATGTGCAGCCTCTGCCACAGCAAGTGGCAGGGGTTTGGTACCTGGGCTTGATGTGTGGATTGGCAGCTGTGCTTCCTCAGAGCCCTCCTGACATCAGCACAACCTTCTCTCTGCTGTCCAGCTCCAGAGGCAATGGAAGTGCCACGGGGGGGATTCCTGGCGATCCCAAATTGCTGCCTGGGAACGCCCTGCACGAGTGCAGGTGTAGGGTCCAAGCTGGGACTGCTGCTGGAGATCCACCTGCAGGCAGGGGGCATGGGCTTCAGGCACACCCCAGCTGCAGGGATAACTGAGCAGATGGGGGCATTCAGCTGCCCCTCCACGGAGTGGGATGGGATGAGGGATTAGGATGAAATAAATGACTTGGAGTTCAGAAGTTACATGAAGTTACACCTGTTTCCTCCAGGGAAACACTGAGCTTCTCAAATGCAGCCCACTCCTGGTCAAAAGACTGCAATGCTATTGGATTTAAAGATTATATTAAAGTAACACTCACTGAGGGGCTTCTTACCTCAAGTTCAATTAAAATTAAATATATTTTATGTTAGAATAGCAGTATTTTTATAAAGCCTAGACAATCATACTGCCCTTTTTCCTTCAGTGGCACTATGTTACACCCTCTGTGTTACACCATAATAAGCTTAAAGCATAAAAAGCTTATTTTACATTGAATTATCATCCCCCTGTCATCCTCACACTGTCAGTACAAAAAGATCAGCCACTCTGCCTGCATTCTTCCCCAGGCATCTGTAGCAGGGTGCAAGAATTTCAGACAAAAATGGCTGTTGGTGTTTACACCATTTACAGGAAAATGGGTGTAGATTCAGATGGGTGCAAAGAACCTGCACGTGGCAGAGTTGGGTTGGAATTTGCTGTAAGACACGAAGAGTGGACTCCAGGTCAGATCATCCAGTGTTAGCAACAACAAGCCTGCAGTACTCTTAGTTTTTCAAGCTCAGCTGTTTCAGTGTTAGGGACTGAGAGGATATTGGCTTATCTTGTGCTTTCAGTGTTCCTTTCATTCTGTGAAGAGTATTCTCAGTACTTTTGTAATAAGTTTAGTAGATGAAAGTGTCAGCCCCGCTCAGAGAGGTGTGGGCTGGCACTCCAGGTAGCAGCAGACGTAGCTCTTGCTCCATGCAGTAGTGCTGGCAGTTCTACTTACACACTTCAGGTATCAGGTACTGGTTGGAACGTAGTACTTTTAGCACATGGGAACTAAAATCGTGGATATCCACAGTTCTGAGGTACCTCTGCATCTGCCTTTGGAGGGGCTGTACATTCTGCAGGATATTTACTTACATAGCAGAAAATAAAGCTTAACCCTTGGATTCAGGTACTTCCAGAGGTGGCAAGGCCGTGTCAGTTTGTTCAGAACACACATCAAAGCAGCTGAACCGATGTGAAGGTTTTGTTTATTTTAGTTCAGCACAAGCCTCGCTGTCCCAATTGCAAAGGAGGTACTTGGAGCCACCTCTTGGAGCCTCACCTTGTGCCGGGGGAGCAGCCAAGAGTCTCAGGGCAAGGGACCCAGCACTAAAGTACCCAAGTCCTCAAGACGTGGAAGAGGCTTGAACTGAAGGGTGCAAATCCTGTTCTTCCAGGGCAGAGTTCAGCTGGATGGAAAACTTGACACTTGCTGTACCATTTGCACCTCTGGCTCTTGAAGCCCTGCAAGCAACAGAGTGTTAATGGCTTAGAAACCCGACCCTGAACGTTGTTTTCCTAAGCTAGGACAGTCACTTACCTCAACTAAGACTTATGTCTCAAGTGAAATTTGAATTTTTTTTAAATAAAGTTTTATCCCTCAACTGTGCCTGGTCTAGGAAGTTATTTATTGGGGCATAAAGCTGAGCACCATGGTGTTCTAACAATATAAGAACGTGTTTTCTAGAGCACTGCACCCATCTTTAAAAGCTTCTCTGCTGAACAATTTATTTCCACCTTTCTCACCTGTGCACTTCCCTTTACCTCCAGCTGAAGTTCAGATTTTAACTGACATCTCTCGCAAAAATAACTGTTCCCTCTTTTTATAAAATTTGTTCCAGCATCCATAACCTCCTTCCCTCAATATTCCATCGAGGCTGATCTGTCTCTTCTCCATTTCACTGTTCCCATCTCTTCCTGCTGCATCCACTGGTGCAGCTCTTCCCCAGCAGTAGTTTTTGGCAGCAGAGCTATTTAATCACCTTCAAATAAAGTCCCCACTGGACTAACACACAGATTTACTCTGTTCCCTTAGTTCTGCTTTACCTGCAGCCTGTTCCACTTCTTTGGTCTCTCTGAAAGGAAAAGTAACTTGTGAAAGCAGTGAGGAAAGTTGCTGACTTGGCAGCTCTCCCTCATAACCACACCACTCACCTGGAGAATCCGTCCTGCCGTCCCACAGGGGATATTTTAAGCCAACACCCATTTAAACTTCACTCCATATAAACTATTTAATAAAATGCTTGAAACATTAACCACCTGCATGTAAACAACGCACAAGTCTTGGTTCTGTAAGTGCCATCCCCAGGGATGTGTTTGGTTTGCAGTTTTTTAAAAGTCCTGCAGAACAGAGAGTTTTTGCAGGTGCTGCTCGAGGCCTCTGCACAGAATGACCGGACACCCAGCGTGGCAGATTACGCATTACTGAACTTTATGTACAAAAACTGATTTCAAAGAAAACATTTAATGAGAAACATTATGTTCATTTAAACAACTCGACTCGTTTTGCTTGGGGATTTTTGTTTGTTTGTTTGTTTGTTTGGGGTTTGGTTTTACATCTACTGTACCGTTCAAATTCTTTTTAACCAGCTTACATGGCATCTGCAAGGGTACATAGAGAAAAGGCATCTTTATAAATAGAAAACAAGGGGATTTTTTCAGCTTTTATTATAAATTGACATGACATACAAAGTTTACTGAACAGAAGTAATTTCATTACTATTTTTGGGGGGATCACCAACTTTTTGTGCAAACAATGCTAGCCTTCTTTTAAGCATTAAGAGCATAACTGCTTAAGAAATGACATAAGCAATAATTCTAGAACTACATCTCCCCTAAAATAATCTATTTTTTTACATATGTGCACAGCTTTAGCAAATTAAAGCCAGAGAGAAATGCATGATGTACTATCCAGAGGCGTAATTAGAGTCTGCTAAAACTCAGAGAGCTGGCAAATTCAAGAAGTTTGTAATGAAAGCTGCAGTTTCCCTCTTTCCTATTTTGTACACAAGATCAGTGACTAAGAACTTAATACTGGATGACAAATCACATCCACACCATTAGTTAAATAGTCTCACAGTTAAAACACATCTTAAGGACCATCAAAATCAGTATTTACATTTTATAAATTTCTGAAGACACCATTAGAAAGCTTATATACCCCTTCAACAAATAGGGAACTGCATCTCATGGTGATGGAATGAAATAAAAAACGAAAAAAAAACCAAACCAAAACAAAAAACCTGTATTTACAGCAGCATTGTTTCCTTTATAAATAAAGAATATGAAAAATGAAATATTTTAAGGATAATAAAAAATTGAGGTGATGTCACTCAACCACAGTGCTTGCTGGAATAAACCCTTCGGTGCTGATACTGTACCAGTAGTGAAACCACTTTCCATTGGAAAAAATCTGTAAACGTATGCATAAAATGTGTTAACAGCAGTGCAAAACTGCTCAAATATAGCCTAGTCAGCATCTTAGTATCTGTATTGAATACAATACATCACAGAATACTTACATAAGAAGTGCAACACATTTTCTGGTCCAATTTTACAGTGCATTTTTCCCTCAAGAGTGGCATCTCGAAAGCCAAAGCTAAACCCGCGGCCCGGCCTTGCAGTCTTGTCCTCAGGCAAGAGAAGTTCCCGGGGAGTTGGCGCCGGAGTGGCTGCAGAGGGACAGGAGCCTCCGGCCTTAGCATGGCACAGGGTGATGTGCAGCCCCCCCAGGAGAGGGGGGCTCCACCAGATCCTGGCTGGAGCTGTGATGAATTGGGTAAGAAGGACAGAAAAGGAGCTTCAAGTTTGAAATGGAACACTGGGCGATGGGAACATCGGAATGAGCCACGAAAGCCAAACTGCTGGGAAACCTCCAAAGAGCCGAGGTGGGACCTCAACTGTGTCTGCAACGTGAGAATAGCCCAAGATCTTTCCAAACAGGCACGAGACAAAGGAAGTGCTAAGTTCACCGACTTTGAGAATTTTTAGTGTAAAAAAAAAAAAAAGAAGAAAAAAAAAAAAAAATTAATCGGTAATTTATGGTCGATTGATAAATGATTTCAAATACAAGGATCAAGGTTAAACTGTAAATAGTGAGACGTTATCTTCACAAAAAGCTAACTGGAGAATTTCTAAATAAGAAAAGCAGAAATTGTATCCCAATCCCCTTTCCCTAATGTTTCACAACTTCATGGTAGGAAAAACAGCCAGATACAGATGCAAAAATCTTAATATAAAAACGGTTTTACATATACTTAAATTATGTAAATTCCATAAAGTTCTTAAGACACTAATTACTAAAATTACAAAAAGATTTTCATATTGCTCTTCATGCTCAAACTCTTAGAATATTGTCATTACATCACCAAAACCAATATACATGTAGTACTTGCATAAGTAACTGAATAAAAACCCTGTTTAAACAATATCCTTGTTGAAATCATTTATTTCCATCCAGCAGTGCCTGTTTGGAACCTCTGTATTTCTGTGTGTAATTCTTTGTGGAGCTCATGCACCCTTTTGGAACGTCACTTCGATGCTCTGTCCGTTGAATGACAAGTGTTGTGGCTTCAGAGCTTCTGTTTCTTGCTCTGTTTGGTGACACCTGAGATGGTCTCCACCTCGGCCCCCCTGTCGCGCGCGGCGCCGTCGCCGTAGCCGTTCGCTGTCCCGCTCTGCTCCTCGGGGGGTTCCTCGTCCGGCGGCGCCGCTGACTCCCCCTTCTCCAGCTTCTGCTGCATCTCCCGCAGCCTGGCCACGGCCTTGTCTATGGACATGATGCTGATGAGGTTAAAGTCATGCATGCTGACCAGGTGGAGCATAAAGTTTCGACACAAGTTCTTCTTGATGATTTTCTGTCCGTAGTTCTCCACAAACAGCATGCAGGCGTGATTCATTTGATTGTCAGCGATAAACCTGGCAAATGAAAGAGCTTGTCACTGTGCAGGTAGAACGTTTTCGAAGACAAAAAGGTGTGGTTTATTACACAGCATTCTCCAATGTTTGTTTTCCTCTTCAAAGCCCAAGGGCTACGAGGCACGAGAACTTTAAAAAGCTTAAACTCTCACAAGCTTGTGACCAAGTTATCCTTTAAGGATCCTTTCCTCAACACCTGAGCTAACTGCATTTTAAGTATTTAATGAATTGCAGTGCAATATGATCAACCAAATCTGTAATTTATTTGCATCAAAGCTAAGCACAGTAACATACCCGTGCTTCATAACATGAAGATTCCATAATTTCATCACTTCTTTCTCTCCTTCGTTAACGTCAGAAAATTCTTCAATTTGCTGGAGAGAGAGAAAGGATTGGGAGGAAGGACAGGGAAAGAAACAAACACACCCATCAGAACTGCGTGTCTGCTGCCAAGCAGTGAGAGCAGACCCAAAATTCAACTTATGCACAGAAATATATATATAGAAAATTCAGGCTCTGCAGTCAAAAAAGTTAGAAAAATGTAATCTCTTGTAGAGACTTGGGATGATAAATTCTATCCTTATCACATACACCCTGCACTGGGTACTCCTGATTCCAGCACCTCCTCTCTGAAGGAGGAAACCAGCCCCAGTGAAAACTTGTTTGAACACAAAACTAGCCTTGCAACTGCAGGCATACTTGAAAAAACAACCTTTGATTCCATGAATTTCCATCCACAGTTGCTCAGCAAAATGTTGCGCTCTTAAAACGCATCATTTTCAAAATATATGCCTGACCGCCCCCTGAAACAACTGCAGATCATCTTCTAAAAACCACAATCCCCTTAGAGCAGTTTTGTGTAAATGGAATAATTACAGTGATGGTTTTCTCCCGTAGCCACTCGGGGTCCTTCTCATCCTCACTGTCCACTTCCATCTCCTGGGGGCGGAGGGGCAAACAGGTGTCACTGTGGAAGTACAGCCGGTTGTGGCCACTGCTGTAGGTCCTCTGCTGCTCCACCTCCCCATCCTCAGACTCCAGGAATTCCGACATACTTGCTTTCGTACGCTTTGGCCTGGCAGGAGGGAAGGAAGAGACGCAAATACTGAGCAATTGGTTCATAACAATTATTTTAAGCTCTAGCTTGCAAAAATTTTGGGGGGGGAACCTCCAGCAATGAGATAAACCCCATTAAACACCCAACTTCTCCTTCTGGGGAAGAAAAGGTTTAGGGTAAGGCAGTTAAGAGGAGTTACATCATTAGGAACAGGAATCTCAACTGAAAAGGTGTAGGAAAATCAGAGGTGAATCTACCACGTCCTTCAGCCACAACAGTGTCATTTCCACTGTTTATTTGCACCTACGCATTTACAGCTCCCCAGGTTTCACAAATCTGCTCTCTAGGCCACGATGCACAAACAGAGCTGGTTTCCCAGCCCTACCTGCAAACCAGGATGTGTGTGATGGGGGTTCTCTTGACCGGCCCGTTGCGGCTGAAGGCGAAGCCCGGCTGACGATGGATGTCCTGGGGGTTCCCTGCGTACGAGCCATCGTAGCACTCGTTGATGGACACGTCTATCCGAGCACCTTTGGGATGATACTGGAACAGGAGTGCAAAGACTCTTAGCAGACAGCAGTGACAGCACATCAAGTAACCTTTCAAATTCCCAATACCTTAAACATCACCTATCAATAACCACATAGAGCTCCAGATTCCTTTTACAATCCAGACACAAATTACACCAGAGCTCCCTTGCTCTGTACTATTTTACTGTTTTATATAAACCCCCTTAGAACTAATTATAAAATGAAGGAAAATATCAGCTAACAAGAACCCTAGAAATCAGAACATTTCTAAATTTCCTAAAGCTTCAAGAGACTTCCAACCAAATGTAGATTACGTTGTTTTCTACACCACAGAAAAGAGCACACTGATGCAAAAGCAGTAGCTACAGTCAAGAGTTCTTGCTCTGAATTCACACATTGATTCATGTAACGTTCAAAGGAAGTGGGTTCTAACCTGCAGTGCTACAATTTAACAGAGTAGCAGCAGAATCCCTGCACAGAGGACCTGTGACAGCCCGTACAGGGCCGAGCTACTGCAAAATTACTTACAACATAATTAAAGATAAATCTGCTGTGGCAAAGCTTCAGGTGTTTGAGTAAACTGTAGAGCTTGCGGCAGTTCAAGGTGCACCAGGGGCAGTGCAGGTCGTCCCTGGCCTCAGTCTGCTGCCTCGTGTTGTTGTTATACAGGAACTGAGGGAACAAAGGAACAGGCAGGGCAGGATTAGTTTCATCCATTCCCTTCCCAAACCAACTGAGAAGTGGTTTCAGGAGACCTCTACAGCAACAGGAACGTTTGGGAACACTCCACCAGCTCGGTGTACTCAAACAGCGGTATCTGAGGGATTTTTTTCCCCACAGGAAGACCACCTGTCCCTTCCTGAGGTCTAACAGGAGATGCCCTTTGTCTTTCAGAACATCAGATGTGCCCCCAGGAAGGTCAGTTTGCTAAAATGCTTCCTGTAAAAAGCAGTATGTGGAATGGCTTTCAGTCTGTGAACCTGAGACCCCTCAAGGCATCCACTAAAGGGGCAAATGGGAATTTCCACCCAGCTCGGAAAGGAACATTTTAATTCCACACAATACTTAACACTGTCGTTTTTCCCTCTGATTATTTTCAATACCTGGTAAAATATTCGCAACTTCTGCCGAGGTTCATTTAAAACATCTCTCTCTTTCCTTGTCTGAAGGTCTGTGGGCAAGGATTCTTTCACAGCTGAAAACAAAGCACATGGAGATCCAGATTTCTTTGGTGCCGAGGAACAGACACTGTTCCTCCCCCAGGAATGGAAGTTGTGGGAAGGGCACTGCTGCTGAAGGAAGCGGGCTACGAGCACTGCATGTCATCACTTCAACATTGCCATGATTTCAAACACTCAACTATGTTTAGCTTTTAAATTTACCTTAAAAAATAGGAGACACAACAAAGCCTGCTTATTTTGTGCTTTTCCCTGTTGAGAATTCCCTGAAGCAGCTGCACTAGTGAGTCAGGAACCCCTCAGCACACAAGGGCCAAGCAGGTGATTATTCAGCAGCAAACCCAAAGTTTGCTTACCTATAGTCTGAGCAGGTTTAACAGAGTTGGGCTTGTTTTCTTGAGGGAGGCTCTCAGAATTTCGTGTTGCAAGAGGCTTGGCTATAGGAGCTGTAGACTTGTCATTTGTGTCTCCTGTCCAACGAAGAGTAAACTGAAGTGTAGGTCCCTGAGAAAATGTTTCAAATGGAGGCAACCTCTGGGGGTGGAAATCAAAAATAAAACAGCAGAATTAGTGTCTTTCTATGTAGAAAAACAATCAGGAGAAAATATTCACAGAATCGAGGTATTTTTTTGAAATCCAAGTAAAGGCTAACAGGTAAATTGAGCTTATAACTACATTTTTACTATATAATTTGGTTCATCTCTGCTTTTTTCATAATTATAATAATCATGTTGAGACACAAACACTTTGCAACCTGGAATCTTCATGGCACTAACAAGTGATACTGTCCCAGGACATGGGAGCATTTCACATATGTACAGTCCCCTGCATCCACTGTAGCACTGAGTGCTGATTCACCTCAGCCAACAACTTCTCTCTGCTCAGCACTGTCTCCTACACTGATACACCTCCTTTCCATCACTACATTTTATCAGCATTCTCCTCAGGTATGTAAGATCACACCTATGAAAGAAAGCTCTGGGTTCCTCTTTCTTTCCCTAAAATATTCTGCAGTATTCCTTTTTGATTTGTCCAACTTGTTACCACAACAAACATTCCATGCTTTAATAAGACAGAAATTCACAAGTCACTGAAAGAGAATTAATTATTTCCTGTTCAAGTCAACCCATTTTCAGAGGAACAGCCACTGACTGCACTTCCAACTGAGCTCCACCTCAATCCAGATCACTTAAAGCAAAGACAGTTTTCTCTCAGCCACTAAAACAATCCACACCTTCCCATCAAGGATTGTTTCCCACGTTGCTCTTTTCTTGCTAATGGGACACTCTTCCATTTCCTGCATGGCCACTTCATATTCCCCATCCAGAAGTTGCAAACGTCTGTCAGGACAAAATGTGTGTAAATAACCCAGCTCATTTTTATTGTTTGCTGTTAAAATGTGCTACTGAACAGTAACTTAAGTTTCCATGAGTCCAAGGGCAGATTTTTCAGGCAAAATTATTTGAGAGTTGGGTGTGGATCTTGACAAACATCACCCACAACAAAGAAAAATGTTAAAGATTAAAAAAACCATATAATTTTTTATGTGTGATTTGGTTCTGTTGCAGATCAGATATTCTCATATATATATATATATTCTCAGACATTCTTGTTCTCATTTCTGTGTATCCTCATTTATATAAATATTATGTTTAGCATATTAAAGTTCTCCAGTGGAATTAAGTAATAGAAAAGAACAAAACGTTGTCAAGACTTTTAAGATACAGATTAGAGAAGGAAAATTGCTTAAAAAACCAAACTCTTCTCAAACTATACAACTTTCCAAATTGTATTTGAGAAATAACTGGTTTTTTTCAGAATCCCTTGGAGATGTTTTAAGCAGCTTTTCCTTGAAGCTCTATTTTTACTGATAAAGAAACCATGTACCTACCTCTGCCTGGGATCTGCACTTGCCACGGATAGAACTCTTATTTTCAAATACTGTACCCAGTCACTGAACAGATCTCAGTGTAAAATGTACACAAAAACACAACAAGCCTAAGCTCTTATTGTAAATACCAACTAAAATGCAGCCAATATTTAATATATTTACAGCGTAGGACTCTTTAACATATTAAATTTCCAATGACTACCAGAAACAATATTTATTTTGAATAACATTACCTGTTTTTATCAAATACAGTCATTTGTGCTACAAATGTCTTTTCCCCATCTTCACGGTTTGAGGAGTTTCTTTTTCTTCTAGCTGGAAGCTCCTCATTGACATCTGCACACAAGAAATAAGGGATTCAATCACTGCATAAGCACAGATTTAAAAGACCAAACAGTCTCTATGCAATTGCAAACTGTAACTGGCTGTTCACTGTGTCAGTGTGTCACACAGCAGAACAGGACAATGCAATGGAAAGGGCACTTAGCTTAAAAGTAATCATATTTTAGGTATGTTCTCATGTATTTTTAGTTTCATCATATTATTCTGTCAGCATAAAGAATTTGGGATCTCATCTTCCTCCTCTTGTGGCTATAAAATAGTGAGAAATAAAGTTTTTCATTCTACATGCACTCTCTCCAAGGCTGTAACATTTGTGATAGAACACATCTTAACAACATTATGAAAACAGCTTTTAAAAATTTGTTACTTAGGTATTTTATCTATTGTTTGTTTGTTTGTTTGTTTTTGCTGAGAGACAGTGATAGAACCTGCAGCTGGGTCAGCAGTGACCAGTGTTGGTGGAGGATTAACAATCCTCTCAGTGCAATATTCACCCTCACCATCACATTCATAACAACGGTGTTAAATCCACCCAAAAACTGAGCACAGTTTCCAGTTCCCAGCTGAATTCCAACCCCAGCCCAAAGAGACTGCAAGCAATGAAAGCCCAGGCAGTCCCTGCTGGCCCTTGTCAGTGTGACCCACACTGCACACACAGCTCTACACGAGCTGCAGGTCAAACCCTGCCCAGGAGGATGGAAGGGCTGCAGTTACCGATGTTCTCGTTGGTCTCCCCGTTGATCAGCCCGTTGAACTCCCTCCTGCCCGGGCGAGTGACTCGGAACAACAGCGAGTAGGACTTCACCATGTGGCTGTTGCTTGGCTCAAACTCGTTGCTGGAGACTGCCAGGGAGGGGAAGTTGCCTGGTTTGATTTGGCTGAGGTCTGGGTTTAAAGGCACCTGCTTTTTACCTGTAGGAACCTGCCTTATGGGACAACTGACATCCTGCAGCAGAACAACAAACACGGCAATTAATGTCTTTACAGTCTGGAGACCTAAGTGTTAAAATTTATATTGTTTGTGAATTGGACTTGTTCTGCCGACTTTTTGAAAATAAGCCTTGTAACAGATACAAATCAGAAAAAATCTGGCACGATCCCAGGTTGTAAATGCAAAACCAGATTATTTGTAAGTGTAAATAAAACTGGCATTCTACAAGCCCTTCTGGCAGCAGCCATCTTTCTCTAAGTGATTAAATTAACACTAACATGAGGCACTTAGAAAGATTGCAGAACAGCCATTAATACTAATTTAATTCTGTTTACCTAAAGAAATTAAATGTTTTGGGTATATATATACATTTCAAGGGCTTCCTGTCTTCTCCTTGCAATATTGCAGAGTGCACTTTGTGCTATCTGTGAGATAAAGAACCACTTACCTAGGATTTATTATATTCAGTACCTCTCAAACAGATCACTGAACATTGTGTAGATTTGGGAAAACATGGCAAGATGGCCTAAATATGAAACTTGCAGCAAAACATTTGGGAAAACCATCAGCACCTCCTGATTTCACCATATTTATCCACACTGTAGCAATTAACAAAATTGGCTAGAAACAATATTAACTCTTAAAAACATGTCAAAACAGCTTAAGAGTCTTGGGGAAAATACACAGAGTTCTGTCTGCAAATCTTTCCTTTCTGCTTCAAAATTACAGCACTCATTACTGAGCCTCCCATATTCCCAGAGCTGGGAAGATGATTTGCCAACTGGTGTGAAACAAACACAGATAAAAACACAAGCAAATTCAAAGATGCTTTAAAAATAAAATCAAAATTGGTTATGATTCACAGGAGCTAAAATTTGCAATAATCAAAGTGATCAGAGCAAAAAGCACAGGTACAGAAAAGGCAAAAATCCAACAGAGAACAACTTGAATAGATCAGTTATTGAATTTAAAAACTAATTCCATGTGATGTTAATCAGATAGTCCAGAAGCAGGGAAACATTTTGCTTTAATACACATTAATAGTTTGTCAAATCATTTTTACCTTTCGTTTCTTGTGGCAAACTTTCACCAGCAGAACTTCCAGGGTCACAGAATTTTGTTCATTCTCTGAGTTTTGTGATGGCTTATCTGAACAGAAAAACATTTTAATTCTGAACAAGTGAATGTTTATTCAATGGCATAAATCCACCTCTGATTAGTTTTTTAACCACAAGCACCTCCAGGCACAAAGACCCCCAGTCAAATTCTAAATTTTAGTTCTCCCCAAATTCACTGCAAATTCCCACTTGAGAACATCTCCTACCTGTTCTCATCCTAGAGATTAAAACTCATAATTGATCTCTAATGGTTAAAAGAGCAAGTTCACCCCCTGGTTCAGGTTATGGGCAGATTTAAGGGCAGTCAGAACACACAAATTACACGAGTCAAGTTATTTTCTCCATTTTTTTTCTTTACACCTTGCACACCTAGAATTTGGTTTGCATCAAAACTTAAGATCCAGATGCCATCAGATAAGAAAACCAAACAAAATTAAAAAGGCAACCATAAACATTATGCAAGTTTAAATATATGCACAACAGCTGCTAAAGGACTCTGGAAAGAACCTGCAAAAAGTCTTAGAAAATAAGACTTGGCTTCAGATAAATCTCCTAGAGCCTGGAATCTCCAAGGCAGCTGCTGCCAGCAGTGTGATCAGCAATGCCAAACCAAAAGTTAAAAATAACATTTGATTTTAATGGACAAACAGCTCTTTTTTTTTTTTTCAGGGGAGTAAAAAGGCAGTGCATTTATCCAAGGCTGTACAGCCCAGGGCATGTCACCTGTGCTTTCCTCAGAGGAACACAACTGGTTCTGCTCTGTGAGGATCAATACTCCAGTTTTGAAAGGTAAATCCTTATGTGCTCAAAAGCACCATGGAAAGACTGAAAGTCACTAAAATATGATTTCCATGGCTTGTCTAATGGCTGGCACAGCCTTTGCCTCATTTCTAGACTCAACTTGATAAAATTTATTCTTACACTTCTGTCTGAAATTAGAAACCACTGAATCTTCAAACTATTTGAAGGCTGTGGGTTTTTTAAAAACTACTTCAAATGCCAAAGACACACTCCCAGAAAATCACTTTCTTCAGGAACTCCTCAAAGGTCTAATTCAGTTTGAATGGATGATGACTTGAAGTATTTCTCAAAATCACTGTTTTCACTAAAACCCCAGACTGTTAAACATCACAGTTACACCACAACATTTCTACAGCACTATTGAATTGTAACTAATGGGGCAGGCTGAGCTTAAATAAGTTAACTCTGCATCCAAACAGCAAAGATTAAAAACACTCAAATATTCCCCTCACAGATCTCTGCTAACTTCCAAGGTGTTACACAAATTACCAGTGCAAGGAATGAATTGGCAAACGTACCATTTTTATGGAAGAACCCAGTAAATGTGAGTTGCAAATGAGCAGACAAGCTAAACAGGAGAAAAATAAAAGAAAGGAAATGTTAGAAGAACAAATGTTTTCTTCTCCAGCAGCCACTTCAGTCCATGCTCTGATGGCCAGGACAGGCCTGCACAGGAGGAGTCAGTCCAGGCTTCCACCTTGGAAGCTGCCTGGACAGGGCAGGAGCAGCTGGTGCAGAGCTGGACCAGTGACTCTTTTCAGCTTGATTCTCTCTGGGTACTCTATGACTTGGTATGTTAGAAAGGAAAGTTTAAACACCACAGCAGAAGGACGTTGCCTGGAGATAGGAGATCTTGCCTTCTCATTTACCAGACATTCATGGGCCACAGAGATCAGGCTTGGTGGGAATTTTCTAGAACTTCACCCTGAACCATGGACTTGGTGTAGATTTTTTTTTTTAAACTAAGTATTGTAAGTTTGATTAGTAATTGCATCTGCCCTGTTCAGAGCACTGCAGCTCCCAGCCTGCACTGCCCTATGGACCACAGACCCCTTTGATTTCAAATGGTTCAATTCAGGACACATTTCACTTTAAAACAAATTATTTAAGCCTGTATTTAAAAGGGTCTCAAAACCACTCGGTATTTCTGAAATACAAAGTATGCAACAAAATACCATCTGTTATTCCACAGTACCAGACACATTCTGAGCACCTTCACCAACCCCTCAGGCAGATCCACCCTGACACTCATCCCCTGTTTTTAAACACAAACATTCCCAAGAGCTCTGAGATGACCAGTGAGCGCCCAACAGCTCGAGCATTCCGAGGGCTGCATCTCCCCCAGCTTCCATCACTCATCCATGGTGATTTTCCAGCCCAATTCTACATTAAAGCACATTTTTGATAGTTTTGAAAGCACAAAACCAACACACAAATCAATATTCTGACTCTGTGGTTTCATAGTATTTTCCCAAATCTGCCTCTTTTGTTACCTTTAATTGCAACACACAGAGATTAGTTCTGACACAACTGGCAGTGTTGGAAGCCAAGTTAAGGCAAACACCTATTTGAGGTTTCCATAAACATTTTAACAGATGCCCCAACAAACAGAGAAAGTTTATCCCAACACTGCTTTTCTCCAGGTCAAGTGACCAGGTCATACACCCACATTTTAAAATCCTGGAAGCAACATTTGAAGCAGTAAATACTTTGTTTCTAATAACTCTATCAATCACAAGTACTTTTGATTTAGCACATGCATGTGCTCATTTGTACCCCCTCCCCAAATATAAGGCAGGACTGTACCTGTGAGATTCTTGTTCTCCCTTCATTTTCTCTACTTTTGATAACATGTCATCTACTTTGAATGTTTTCCTGTGAAGAAAAAGCAGAAAGAATGGTTTTACACAGCCAGGATACCCCTAATATCTAACAACAGAATTTATTCAGCCTGAACTTTGACTTGGTTTTCATCTAAAACTGTCTATATTTTAGCCTTCTCTTCAGAAAGCACCCTTTATATCTCATTTATATCCCACCCATGTTGTAGGGACACAACTGCTTCTCAAGCAGCAGCAAAAGAATGCAAAGAATTAAAACCAGACCTTTCAGCAATAATCCCACTGCTCATAGGAAGTTTCATTGAACAGCAACATCTTGAAACCCTGCAATGAACATGCCTAACCACATCTCAGCTTTGTCAAAGCAAGTTCCTGCTTTAGTGACACTTGTACCCCCCAGGAATTGATGTGTCAACTCTGTAGCCATTAATATTTTAATTGTGATCACAATAATGAAAAACACTTCAAAGCTTGTAGGACAAAAGAGTTAAAAACTTAATTAAAACCCCAAACCCTTATTTCTCCACACGTTTCTAGTAAATGGAAAAGAGCAATGAATTCTCAGGCTACTTTTAGGGCACCCACAGGAAATGTGGGACAACGACAACAATGTCATAGGGAATAATCCCTTCAAATCATTCCTCTCTGGAATTCTGACATCAGGCTGTTCGTGCTCGTGTGCTCAGCCTGTCCTGCCACACACACAGTTAATGGTCATTGCCAAACCAAGCTCACTCCTGAACAGAAGTTATTCAACACTTTCCATGTTTCATTACAGTTAAGGCTTGGACAGAGATACCACAAAACTGCCCCATGCTGGAGTGACAGTGTAGGAGTGTGAGGGCATCTTACACCTCAGAAAAATGGAATTAGAGCATAAGTTGTTGCCAAACACTGGATTCTCTCTGGAGGGGAACAACAATGTGCTCTAGGGAAGTGGGAAGCATCTGTCTCCAGAAATATCCCGGCTGGATGAGCCCTGATGTCACACAGTGTCCACAGGCAGCATGACGCGCTCGTGAGTGGCTGAGTTACACATCACAGGGTGACTCAACGGTGACACTGGACAACAACCCCTGCACAAGCACAGGGCTGCAAATGAATTATCAGCTGTGGAGTAAACAATCACTGATTCAAAGCTCCACTCAGCACCAGGCTCACACGTCTGACAGACTCCAAACTGACTCACCTCCACTCAGATGTGGGATCATTACAGTGATCATTACAGTGATCAGCTTTAAAGCAAAGGATGTGGAGAACAGAGCAGTTTGGTAAAAACTGCAGATTCTGAGGTCAAAAAGCCTCTGTGTGCACTTTGTGCAGCTCATGAAAATCAGCCAGAACAGAAGCAGTGCCCTGATCTTCAGAGGGCTTTCTTCAGACTGAGCAACTGCTTCAAACAGCCTCAGAGCAAAGTTATGTCATGACTGCAATGGGAGCCAGAAACCAGCTCAGAGACAAACAGGATCCAGGGCTGGGGGAAGTTCATAATCATAGAACATACTAATATCTGACACAACTGGCATTTAATATGTGAACATTACTGATCCAAAAAAACCCCAGTGGTGCAGCCTTTGCTAAACCCAGGCTCAGGTTAGTCAAAACAAGAGTCCCCCTAAAAAAACCTTTCGGAGAAACTAAAAATAGCAAACAAGAAACTCATTAAATCAAAAGTGTTGCCTTTGAAGTTAACCTGTAAGAGCAGAAATTCCTCTAAACTGGATGACTATTTTTGTTACCACATTCCCATGCAAACCAGACAAAATGAAGTGTTGGTAATACCCATCCCTAACACCTGGGATTTTCAGGACAGCAGTTCCTGGTGCTACAAGTACATGCATCTTGTGCATTCCTTTCTCCACCCACTCCTATTCCAGTCAAGGAAAGTACTAATTAACAACATATTAGAAGTCACATCAGAGCCCGTCATGACTCTGATAATAAATAAAAGAATATTCTCTATCCAAACACTGTATGGGAGCAATTTTATTTAGTAACTTCTTTCCAACACCATCATTTGGTCTGATAATACAGTAACACCTAAAGACAGACCCAAGCAAAAAGCCCGTTTTCAGTTTCCAAAGCTCATCACTCTCTGAAAAGAAGCAGCAACTTCAATACCTTTTTATCCCAAGCTGACACATGTCCATTAATTATTCCTTATCCCCATTTTTCTATATTCTACTCTTTATAAACACTCTCTCAGTATTAAACATATGGACCAATACCAAGAGATAATTTCATGGTAAAAATGCAGTTTTACTTCCCAAAGTGTTATATTTGCCTGGCTTTTTTTTTTTCAGGCTGCCACACAGCTGGAGGTAAAAAACATGGAGCTATAATTACTATTGTTTTATAAAGTTTGGACATCAGTTCTTTGTATTTTACTTATCATATTATTTTCTGGTTTTCCCCTGAGCTCTGCTGGTTCACTTCTGCTGCATTATTGTGGTTTTATAAAGAAAACATCCTGAAAGATTTTACTTAATCTTCCTAGACCTAATTAGCAGGATGATTTCAATAAATCAGCAGAACTATGGAGTGAAACAAGTATCAAAGTGTTTGCTACCAGAACACTACCCAGCTAAAATGAGTTCTAAACGAAAGGGTGAAGGGATCCAGTAAAAATCAGTGTTTTCCAAAGAGGAACTAAGCATTACTTGTGCAGCTCACTCTGAACTAGAGTTTGGAACAGAGAATAACACAAGGTAAGCAAAGCACTACTTCTTGTTTCCCAGCAAGTAAAAACATCCAACAGAGCAGTTTCAGGTAAAAACATACACATTGCCATCAACTGGAAGTTCATTTAAGTTATAAGCAAGAACTTCCTGTCGTACAATTCTAGTTATAAAAAAACAAACAAAAACAAAAACCCAAAACAACCTGGAAATAATTTCTTAAAATTTGACTCTGAACTTATTTTAAAATAAGCAAAAAAATAATTTTGGTAACTTTTGTAAGGAAAAGTAAACAGTAACTTCAAGTTTTAAAAAAATTAATAAATCTGACTGTTACCTGTCCTAAGCACCTGAAATTGTAGGTTATGGATTCAGTTTTAGGCAAAAATTATATTGTAGCACTAAAACTCATGGCAAAAACATGAAACAATATCCAAGAATGCCATATTTAGCTTCTTTATTTAATAAAAACATGCAAATTCTACTGATCAACAGATCATGCAAGCATTACCTCCCTTCAGTAAGAAATCCCAATTTAAATTAGAATTGTCTGCAGAATAATCCCATTTTGGTGCATATTTGTTGCATTTCAGTCCCACAGCAACTGTTTCCAAGCGATAAGAACTTTAGTGCTGAAATATTTCCCAGTAAGTGTTCAGGTTACCAAAAATCTCCAGTGTAACAAAGGATTTCCAGAGCAGGGGAAGGAAGAGAACGGGCCCTGAGATTCTGCTGACAAACAATGTCCACTGCACCCGTCCCTCTGCAGTGTTTCCACGTTTCCAAGCCCACTGACACACATCTGCAGCCCCTCACACGACAGGAGTGACTATTCTGAAATATCAAAACCCAAGCCCATCTCTCAGGTGCATCCACCTCAAAACAACCTTCTCACAGTTGGCTGGAGTTTTTGTAAAATGCTACAAAGAGACCTCTTTAATTTTTCAGCTTTTAAAATAACTACAGAAATAATTACTGGATTCTTTCAGGACTAATTAACGAAGCAAATAGTTTTGTATTTGGGATTTGTTCTTTTAAAACAAGTGGTCAGGGTACAGTTTAAAATAAAATGTTTCATATGATTACGACTCAGCACCATGGGTTCCAAGAGTTTGGATGTTCAACAGTTTAGTTTGGTTTTTAAAGAAGTTCTGCCCCAAAACAGAAAACGAACATGGGAGAATTAGTCAGGATTCTGCAGATAGTTCTCCACTTTTGAGTACTCCCAGTATCAACACAAGTCACAGGCATAAAGCTACACAGCCCCTTCACGTGGCAGAAAATCTCTCAGGTCTCAGAAATCAACTGTACACTGATGGATCATTTCTTAAGTTCTTCAAAGGGAGAAGTTTTACACACCATGTGAAAAGAGCAGGTCACCCTCTACTATTTTTTGGACCTTTGCTACTCAGTGAATATTTCAGGATTACTTTTCAAAAACAGTTTTTTTACCTTTTGATATTTGTTCGGGAGTTTCTGTGGGACATGTAAGTGAGAGTTCTGTGCAAAAATATTGGCTGCAGGGGGAAAAGAAAAAGAGAAAGGTTATGCTTTAATTGAAATTTCCTACAAGCCCAAAGTAAAGGAGTGATAAAAACCAATTACTCACTGCTATGAGATTCCGGGTACGGAGAAATCTGTATATCTGGGTTGGTTCTAAGAAAGAGGAACACGAGTTATCCAACATATCCTTGTAAGGGCAATGTATCTAACTTAGCATGGTGATTATTTGGAAACAATTACCACAAAAGTCACCCCAGTGTCCAAATAACTACAAGTTAACACGTCAAAGGTTACTTCACCTGCTCTACAACACAAAGCGACTTCTCCTTTAAGCCGCCATAAATCAGGGTCACAACTCAACCCTGACTGCTCTTGCTCCCCACAAAACGTGTTTCCCACCGGCTTTATATCACAAGAGGGCAGAAAAAACACCTCTGCACGTCACAGCCCCGTGTCAGATAGGTATGTTTTGTTCCTGAGGTTAATGAACACATCTGCTCCGGGACCCAGACAGCACCAGGAACTGCCACGGTGGATCTGCTTTATCCTTCTGGGAAATCCCAAGGTCACTTGCAGCAGGTTCTGAGACAGGAACAGGGACTGACAGTTGACTGTGATCCAGCAGGGATCACTCTAAGCTGGGAAATTCATGTTGATTCTGCTAAAGCAACTCCTGTTTCCAAGTGCAACCAGAGGCAGGATAATAGAGCTGTACCCAACCGATGCATCTCAAAGGGTGTCAGAACCAAAGCTCAAAGGATCAAGACTTGCCTACAGGCAGGAGGACCTTCAGATTAGTTTTAACCCGTTCAGTTAAATCAGGACAAAAAAGGTTTTGTCTGGATCAGGTTGTACCTAACAAGAATTGCAAACTAAACCAAAATACAGCCTATTTATGCTGAAATAAAAGCCAGTCTCGTTAAGGAACATCAGCGAGAAACTTAGAAAGGACTTGATAAAACACATCATGTGGAGAGAAAAGAGAGAATGGAGAATGTCTTAATGCTCATGCTGAGACTGCTAACACTGCCTCCACTTCCCACAGAAGGAAAACAAACTAGTTCTTTTTTAAGAAATATAAAACTGCATTTTCATATAACTGCAAAACATTTATTTCTAATAGCTAGAAACTCTACTGTATGGAATTCTGCAAATAGAAGTGAAAAAGGACAGCTTTTTATATCCTTTATCCCTTTTTAAAGATTTGATTCCACCTGATTTCTCCAGTTATGAATGGAAGATCTCACAGAATCCGTTATTAGAGAAGGGAATCTTACAATGATCACAACATGGTCTTTTAGAAGCCTGATGAAAACTAGTAAAATTCTGCTTAATTCCAGTTATCATAATAAATCTGTGTTTTTCAAAGCAAGATAAAAGACAGAAAGGAAAGAAATTAAGAAACATGCACTTTGCTACCAAGTGAAAACACATAGTCACAACTTCTAAAGAAACATCCCAGGTTTTTTAGTCTCAAAAAGCCCATGACATAACTATAATTTAGAAAGGTGTGACTACATTAAATTACATTCAGAAGGATGTAAATTTAATTTAAAGGCAAGGTACTGCTGCTTCAACTTTAGTTTTCCCAAGGAGAGAAATTCTGAAACACACTTTTCAACCTGCAGAGAGACACATATTTCACAAGTCCACATTACCCAGCAAAAGCTTAAAATAAACCTTTATCTTTTTCTAGCATATGACCTTGAAAAGGGACAAAATCAGCCAGGAGGGAATGCGATTCAATACTCCACGTGTTGGGATTTTTTTAATCCGGTGTTTACTTATTGCAGTTTTCCCGTGATATTCACACTGCAGGGTTAACATTCTATGGAACATCCCCACTTTTCTCCCGGTCCCACCTCTGAGCTTCCCTGCTCTGACACGGGCAGGAGGATTTGTTTCCACCCCGGCCACTGACACTGAGCAAACCTCTTGCAACTCGTTTGCCACTTGACCCATTTGCAGCACAGTATTAACTGAACACACAGCGCTGTTAACACGACTGAGGCTCAGGCGACCCCACACTATTCGAGACAACACCAAAAAGTCCGACTTTCTCCAACACTGTCACCGTCTCCAGCAAGCGAGAGCGAGCAGTGACAGCACCAATCCCAAAGCAGGACCGAGTTTCTTAAGTAGGGCATTAAAAGCTCCCTTCAAACCCTGGCAATTGCACAGAAGTCTCTCAGTACAAGGTAAGTTCACTGCTCCACCGCGTTTTTGAACCAGATTTCCATCAACAACTTTCTGGTGCGTTCAGGGGGGTTTTCCTCCTCTCTGGAGCTGCCACAGGGGGATGCCTGGGTCGCAAAGGTCAACTTCCACTACGAAACCTCAACTAAGGGACAATTATTGCCAGACAAAGAAAAACCCGAGTACAGTGAAGTCTGAACAGCATCCTGCCCCTCACAGGGGCTCGAACGGCAGAGGCCACAGAGGAACGAGCCCCCTCGCCCCTCCGTGCCCGGGGGCTGCCGGCGGAGGGAAGGGAGCCCGAGCGCCTGATGGGAAGCGCTGCCGAGCACCAAGTTCATCGCTGGGCGCGGGCACACACCCCCCACCCCCGCCTCCCGCCCTGCGGGCCCTCCCGCACCCCGGCCCTGCTCCCCGCGCTTCCGCCCGGCCCCCGCCTCCCCGGCCCCGCTCCGGGCCCCGCTCCCTCCCGCGGGCCGTGTTTACCCCCGGAAGCCCCTGCTGCCCGCAGCCCTCCTCCTCCTCCTCCTGCCCTTTCCGCGGCGGCCCGGGCCGGTCCCGCCGGCTCGGCCGCCGCTCCCCCGGCCGGCCCCCGGTGCTCACTCGAAGGCCTGAAGAAAGAGGTCGTGGTCGGCCTGGATCTGCTCCATCTTCGGCTTCTTCACGGGGGGCAGCGCCGCCGCCGCCGCCGCTGCTGCCGCCGAGGAGGCCGAGGAGCCTCCCGAGTACCCGCCGCCCCCGCCGCCGCCGCCCGCGGCACCGCCGGATTTGCCGCCGGGAGCCGCCGCCGCGGCGGAGCCCCCGAACCCGCCGCCGCCTCCTCCACCTCCTCCTCCTCCTCCTCCTCCGGCGGCGCCGCCAGCGGAGCCCGAGCTGGGCCCCGCACCTCCACCGTGCTTCTGGGGAGCCATGGGGGTGTCCCCGGGCGGGCCCCGGCGGGACGCGGAGCGCGCGGGGCGGGCAGGGCCGGCCGGGGCGGGTGCGTGAGGCGGGGGCCGAGGGGGGGCCGCGCCGCGCTCCAACTCCGCCAAGTCTCCTCCGCCCCGCTCCCTCAGCGCCGAGCCCGCACCGAGCCGCGCGCCCGCCCCCCGCGCGCGCCCATTGGCCGCGGGGATGGCGCCGCGCGCCGCCATTGGCCGGGGCCGGCCCCGCCCCCCGGGGTGACGCGCCGATGGTTCTGGAAGCGTTTGGTTGGTCCGCGCGCTCGGCGCGCACCCCCGGGGCCCCCTCCCCGCCCGCGTCCACCCCCGCCTTTGAACTGAATTCGCGGGAAAGCGCCGCTCGCGCTCCGGCGCGCGGGGCACGATGGGAACGGGGGGCTGAAGGGCTGAGGGGGTGCGCGCTTGGTCGCCCCTCGCCCTCACACTCCCTCACGTCCCCTCACATCCCCTCACATCCCCTCACACCTCCCCCCCTCACATCCCCTCCCACATCCCCTCACATCCCCTCACATCCCCTCACATCCCCTCACATCCCCTCACATCCCCTCACACCGCCTCACCTCCTCACGCCCCCTCACACCTCAGCCCCCTCACAGCCCCCTCACACCCCCTCACACCCCCTCACAGCCCCCCTCACACCCCCTCACACCCCTCACAACCCCCTCACACCTCCCTCACAAGCCCCCTGCTGACCAGTCCCCCTCACCGCTGCTCCCCCTGCTCTCCGTGTCCCCTGTGCTTTCCAGACCCACTCCGGTTTTCCATGCCCAGGGCTCCCCAGCCCCTCTGGCCCCCCTGTCACCACCCGGTGGTCCTGCAGCCACAAGGGTGCTGGTGCCCCACTTTCCTCAGGGGCCATTCAGCTGCCCCCAGGAGCTCCAGCGCTAAATTTGTCAAAAAAGAGCTAAATCTTTTGAAATAGAAGTTCGGGTACAAATCAGTGAAGGTACTGTGGTAGAAATGGTTATAATGGGTGGGCCATGAGGTCCTGCTGCTATCCCATAGCTTTGACTTTAACTAACCAGTAGATTTCCTCCCACAGGTGCTGGGAGACTTAAAGTCTGAGGTAAAGCGTTTCTGGGTTCATTCCCACCTTTCTTTGCTTGCTGAGGATGCACTGAATCCTCAGGGAAACCCAGGCTTGGTCCAGGGTGGGCCCTTGGGGCAGGATCTGGTGTGGGAGAAAACGCCAGCGAGTCCAACTGTGCCACTGGGAAACCCAACATCGGCTCTGTTTAATCAAGCCCTTATCAGCGACGTGGCGACCTCACACATAAAAGGCTTCGTTCCGTTCTATTTGTGAAACTTCTCCAGAGCAGTTTTACAAGGCAGGGTAAGAATGGTCCGTGTGTGAAATACAGCCTTGAATTCCCATACCAGACACAGCTGTGGTGCTGGCACTCCACCATCCCCACCGATCCTCTAATTTCTTGTGATAAGAAAAATGAACTCAATGATAAATATTCAGAGGAAAACCATATATCAAAGTCAGCTGTGCTGCAAATGTGCCTTACATTAGCAACACGGGGATTCCAATGTCAATTGTCTGGTATTAACCTTATTATGTTTGAAGAAAATGTATGTATATACATTTACCCCACAAACATTCAGATAAACAAGTCTTTATTCATTATTCCTCTCTTTTTGCTTTTTCTGCTGCACTATTTATCTTTCACGTTTGTTCTGGAACAATATTTTCGTCCCTTATCTTTTTTCTTCCCTCCTTCCTCAGACACTGATGTTTTACCTGCAGGCTTTTCAGTATTTTGTTTCAACCTTAATTTTGTTACATTTTAGAAATTCATTGCTGTCACAACTTTACCTACGTTGTATTTTTCTTCCCTCTAAACAAAAAGCCATATTTCTAAAATACTGCTACACATTTTATCCTGCTCGTCATGACTGTCTCTGCTTACTATTCCAGTCTCGTTATGTGCTATTTCTTACTCAATTCCTCTACAGTCACCTGTTGCTGAATATGTTTTTCATTACTGGAAGCAGCAATGTTTGATGCCCTGCCTGTTTCTGAGGACCTTACGTGTAATTTCTTTGCTCATAATACCTGGGAATTCCTGGTGATGCTTCTGATATTCGGTGGTTGCCAGGCTGTTGGATTCAGGGGCCAGAGTGCAGCTGGACCCCAAATTTACAGGCATCTTCAGGTCATCAGAGGCTGAGCTTGAGATCAGTGATACCCTGTTACAAGTGACAGCAGGTATCAATATTGCATTATGTGTGAGAAAGGCTCCTGAACGCTGCGTAGCTGGGATTTTGTCCTTGGATGTTGTTTGCCACCCCATTTATTGCTGTCTCCTCACAACTGCTTCCAAGTCTCTGCTGCTGCTGGTGGCTCATCCTTCTAAATTTCAAAACTGGGAGGAAGGAGCCAGAGGGCAGCCTTCCAAGCAGGAGTAAGAAAGATAATTAAGCAATTAATGTCTGGCATTGGAGTTGGATGTGCTTGGGAACAGAGGAACCTGTGACTGCTGCCCTGAGTGGGACAGGACAGTGGCATGACCTGAGCCCTCTGCAAGGGGAGGACTGGCTGGCAAACAGAACAACTTTGGTAGCTTAAGCCTGTTCCCCTTAGCTGTCCTTTCATGTCCCTTCCACCCCAAACCATTCTGGGGTTCCATAATTCATTCTATATTTGGGGCTTCGTGGAATGGATTAGTGGAAATAGCAGGTAACTTCTATTTATTTTGCAAGAAGCAAGAAAACAAAGGCTCCTTTTAAGAAAGGTGGAAATCATTATGGTTTCTTCAGAAGGAAAATGAGCTGCAGCATGAGATTGTTGTGTCCTTGACCTTCCTGGTAATATAGACCCCTATAGGTTTTACAGACACATTTATTAAAAAATAAATAATTAAAACATTTGTCTTAGCAAATGACCTGCAAAGCCAGAGAAAATGTGTTTTCAAATAAAGTGGTTTAGAAAAGTAGCAGTAAAACATAGAGTACCTTACTGAAATTGATATAAACTAAAAAAAAACTAAACCCCTAAAACCTAATAATAAAAAAAGGGCAGTTTCATAAGTTCAAGATGACAAATGGAAGAAACAATCAGTTCCAAACCAGGAGCGCTGTTGGAATACACCCCTGAAATGAAAGCAGAAGTAGGTGGTAGAGGTGCTTCTATAATATGTCAGCTTTTATGTCCTGAGATGGCCAATCCATTCTTGTTTTCACATCCTGTTAGTGGGATTTGCATTTGATATCCAGAAGATCAGATTTGTTTCCTGCAGATTGGAAGCACATGCTACTTGTAAATCTCCTTTTCCTCCGGCTTTTTGCAGCCCATGCATGCCCAGCATTCCTGTCACCCTGAACAGCTGAACTGCAGCAAGTTTTGCCTCTTCCCGTGCACATGTCAAAGTGCATATTTTAGAGCTTTAGGCATTTTTTTTTCATTTCATAGTAACCTGATTTTGTTGGTTGCCTGTACTGCCCCTACAGCCTCACTCCAGTTTGAGTCCCCCAAATTACTGTGTCTTGGCATAGGAATATTTACAAAGTAAATCCTTATTTAAAGGGGAAATAAATCCCTGTATACTCACAGCTCAGCCTAAATGAAGGTTTTGTCAATATAATTATACTGTTTTCCTCCCATCTTTAAGCATAGGTCTGTCTATAGGGATTGTTGGTATTAACTAAACACTCCTACAGACCAACTCATCTTCTGAAAATTTTCTATATTTTCAGTCTGATTTTATGTTAATTAACAATAAGTGGCCATGGAAATTATTAGATAAGCTACTCTACCTACTTGGAAAACAGAAGTCAACTCCCACTTGGTGTTTTCTCAGCCTCTTGCAAAGAGAGGCTACACAATATTGCAGCTGGAGAAAGGGAGCAGCTCCAGATCTGGAGATAGGAAAATTTCCAGACTTGTGGATAACAGCAGAGGAGGAGGCAGCTGGAATGCCGGGTGCCTTTGGGGTGGCAGGATCGTGTTGCTGTTGGGGTGGGAGCTCTCAGTCTCAGTTTGGTTTTCTGCATGTTCATGTCCAGAGCTGCCCTGTTTTTATGAGCAGGGAACTGAGAACAGAGAAAATAAACTTTGCTGGAAGGGAAGAGTGGAGATCCTACACGGCAATCCAAGTATTCCCAAGTATTTCCATGAATGCTGGGGGAGAGGAGATTGACGGAGCAGCCACTTGTGATTCTCATTCATGTGTTTGCCAGGGACTGCTTTTGTCCAGAGCTGTTCAAATGTATTCCAGGAGCACAGCACTGCAGGAACGTGGCCCTCAGGGAATCTCAGTGCCCCCACAATGCACAGCTTTCAGCCACAGGTTCCTTCATGTGGTGAGTTATGGCAGAGAGTGGAGAGGGAATGCAAAGATGTTTTGCACCAGGGAATCACCTGTCTCCTGCATCCCCCTGGGGAACCATCAGTGATTACAGTCATTAGTATTGCTGAGTAGAAATGCGTGCTCAGGACTTGTCTCTTGGACTTCTCTTGGTGATGTTTTATTATACTTTTCATGATTCTTCTACAGTGAAATTTATTTCCTGATTTTCAGGATTTCTTTTTGTTTGGTGGCTTTTTAGCAGTAGTGTTTGTCTTCAGAGTTTAGGCAGTGGACTAAAAGTACCAGAATTGTTTCAAAAGCATTGTGAAGAGCCTGGGCCCATTAGATTAATTTGCTCTAGAAAGGGAGGACATCTCTTAATCTTAAAATTATTAAATTGTAAGGCTAGAAATGGTATTTCCTGCAAAACTATCAAAAATTCAAAAAATCATCCTAAGTGGACTTTCAGGGTTTGTGTTCTCGCAAGTGACTCCCGGAAACGGTGAAAGAAACGGCAACTGAAGAACTTGTGAGGCAAACTTAATGATTAAACTCCGAAATGCAGAGATCAAAGAGGAGCTGCTGGGGAGATGTGAGAATTCGGTCAGTTACAGATGTAAATAGACGTTTCTCAACAAAAGGTCTGTTGACAGTGCAAGAATGAAATCTTCAATCACTCAAAACGAGAAATATGGGAGGATCAAAGAGCGTGTCAATAGACAGTAAAACAAAACCTCAAGTGAATTAGTTAACTAATTAATTTCAGCTTTAAGTAAGGGATAAGTTTTGACAGGGACCAATTCTTCCTTATGTGGCTTAACTACGTACAGATTAATAAAGTGAGAATTGGGAATTTTATCATCAGCAGTTACTTAAAGGATAAGATCAGGGCAGAAA